CTTTTTTCGCAACGGCTTCTTTCATTTGTTCATTGAGTCCACATACGAACACGTGGATGCGCGTCGATTCGAATGCTGACAACACGACACACTCTCTTTCTATATATTATATTGTTCTGTACGTGCATGGACGTTTTTCTTACACATACTTGCTTTGCTGCTCCGGACTTTTCTACCGGATATATCGTTCGCATGTGGCAACGTTCCGTTTTACCACCGCTTCCGTAGGTAGCAACGTCGTTCGTACACGTTCCCAGTTTCGCATTGTTCTCTGATTACCGTAATATCCTTCTATCATAATGCGTATCACTTTATCCGCTCGTCTGAACAACACCGTTGCTCAAGATTCCGTTTCTGGTAGCGTTATCGAATGACGTGCTCGTTGTGTATTGTGCACAAAAATTCCCCCGTTTGCTTCGCACCTGTACGAAGAACACGTACACAGATAACACACAGACACGAAGCATGAAGAACAGCGATCAATCGAGAATACTAGTAGTAGTCGTCAAGAGAATGCCAAACGTACATCCACTCACACACGTACGTATATTTACACTCGGCTCGCGAAAGTTACGCGAACATGAATGTTCATTGTTTCATGAATATATCGTGCGCGTTGTACGAAATATTTTAAAAATTTCATTGGCAATTGCAAGATATTCAATACAAATGTATATTTCTCGGAAATAGTAAAAGTACGTGGCCAATCAGTTTATTCATTGTATTAATTCAGTGAATCCAATTAATATTCGGACGTTAAATATTTAAATTGTTATGATTTTGTAAAAAGAAGTCGTACTTGGGCTTACTTTAAAGTAGTTCCAAGATCGTTCGTTGATGCACTATGTGTCAAGTGAAAACACTTCAACCTCGTCAAAAATTCTCACAAATTGTCACAGTGTGTAAAATCCTTTTACATGATTTAATTGAAACACCCCTCGAAACTTGATGTGCAATTTTTCAACGACGAAAAATGTTACGACTTTTTTTTGGAATTGGAATGACGAATGAAAAATCATACGCCAAGTTTTTGCGGATTGTTGTAAAGGAGAGACTTCGTATCTTCATATCCGTTCATAAACTCCAATATTTTTGCATACTATATGTGTGTGACTAATTTGTAATATTTTCGAGAAGAAAAAGTATCTTCGCTAGCCAACTTGTTACGCGGCATGAAAACGTTTTAGAATGAAATGAATTGGAAAGTGAGTTTTGAAAGTAAAAGGTTCGAAAGCAAGCTCAAGTTTCAATATTTAGTATCCGAATATTAATCGGATTCGCTGCAAATATATCCAGACTGGTTTCGAAAATTTGGCCAATTAGCAATAAAATTTCCAAACATATTTCGCGAGCCAGCGTATGTGTACACTCGACACACACACGTACACACACGTACACTCGATCCATGGAAAACTGTTTTCCTTTATGTTTGTGCGATGTTCGGAGGATGTACGGCGCGCCTTGTACACGTTTGCACAACGGTGCATAGTGCGCAGTTTCTTTCGGTGGTCGCTTGTCGCGTCGCTTCGCTTCTAAGGGAGACTACATTGCAGGTGAAGAAAGCGACGGAACACCGGGAACCCCTAGCTCGGTTTATCTGCGGGTGAACAGGAGGCGTACGGACCTGATGCCGACGATACCATCGCCGCGTGACGGACCGCCATCGTCAGGGCGTAGTTCGAGCGCGAAGGCCTTCACACGTTCGCCAGGTAGGACTTACTCCATGTCCAGGCTGGACCAACTGGCGCAGCCTAGGAAACGTCCGACAGAACTTAGCACACTGACGGAACAGCAAAGCCAGCCTCTGAGCGCTTCTAGCATGAGTCGCAGCATGTCACATTTAGCTGCGTCCGGAGGCAAGAGCCTCAAACGCTCAGATAACTCTCGTAGCATGGGTACGTTGCCAGGCGCGGTCCCGATGCCGAGACCAACCAGGGCCGAGAGACTCCGTCGCAAAGCCCGCGAGCATCAGAACCAACAGCAACAAGGTAAGATCGTTCTTGTGCACTCAACTCTCGGTCGTGATGTCGTTCTCTTGAATACCGCACCTTCGTTCTCTTGACACGTTGAATGCCACGAGGCGAGGAATCACGAGGTGACCGGCCATGCCCCAAGATTAATAGAAACGCACAATTAATTCCTCTTAAATTTATGCGCGACGTGTAGAAATAGCTCAATTTTATTCATACATGTAACATGTATGCATGATATAAAGCACTGCAAACAAGGAAAGCTGCAATTTTTTTCGTTTTTATTCTACCTTATTGTTTCTTGAATTCTTTTACAAAATCGTCGCCCGATCCTGAGGCTTTTTCTAACTTTTTTTTTCTTCCTTTCATTTCGTGGTTTTTTCCTTTTCTTTCGAGATAAATCCATTGAACATGGTTACATACTTCAACTTATCTATTGCAAAGAATATTTCAATAGACAATATCTATCGTGTAATAACGCGATTCATGTTGACGTGTTGGGCGTAAGTCACGTAATATCTTGGCATTCAACGTGTTAAATGCCGCAATGTCGGTTTTATCGTCATTCTCATAGAAATCGGACCGAATTAACGAAGTTGACGCCACCTTTGTACATTTCTATCATACACTGAACAGTAACTCAAAAGATATATATATATATATAT